GTGCGTTAGAAAGAGTGCGTTTACGAGAGTTGAGCACAATGTACACAAGAAAATCGATCCTAAAACATAAATCAATAGTTTTTCATGAAGAAATCATCAAGAAAACGACTTTTTCCGTTGATTCGCTTATTCATAACCACCGTACTCCTTTCCTTTTTAATTGTTTTGATGAAAAATTTGCCGTCAAACAAAAGGAAAGGAAAATAAAGCGAAAAATTTCAATAAAAAAGGTTTTTTGCAAAAACGAATTTTTTGATTTTCGATTTGAGAATGATTAAGAAAATGTTGAAATCTAAAGAAATGTTTTTCTCTTTATACAGACAACCAATAAATAAAAGTAGTCAATAAATTTCTTTCGAATACCTAGACTCTCTCCTAGTTATCGAATTTCAACGTAAAAAGTAGAAAAATAAGATTCATTTGCACTAGGGGGGATCGAACCCGGATCTTCTGGGTTGTAGACGAGCGTGCTCCCGACTGCGCTTGGGGGACGGGATGATCGGTTGACAGGGAAGGAAGGTCTAGCTGGGTAGCAAGTACCAGGTCCCGAGTGCCAGATCGCGATCGATTATGTGCGCGCACAAAGAACCTTAGGTCTAGCTGCGTACCAGGTACCGGTCCCGAGTGCCAGATCGTGATCGATTGTGTGCGCGCACAAAGAGCACTAGGTCTAGCTGGGTACCAGGTCCCGAGTGCCAGATCGCGATCGATTATGTGCGCGCACAAAGAACACTAGGTCTAGCTGGGTACCAGGTACCAGGTCCCGTGCCAGATCGTGATCGATTATGGGCGCGCACAAAGGTCTAGCTGGGTAGCAGGTACCAGGTCCCGAGTGCCAGATCGCGAGCGATTATGTGCGCGCACAAAGAACACTAGCCACCAAGAGTCATTTAAGTCCCTTTGAAGCAAAGGGTCTCAAGTGCTTTGTGGTGTAGTGGTTAGCATCGTTGGTTGGTAAGCGGAAGGTCGAGGGTTCGAGTCCTGGTGGTGCATTTGGAAATAGGGAAGATGGGAAAACTTGATTTGATTTAAGTAAAAGACTTTAGACAGTCTGTAGATAGCTGTAGATAGCTGTAGATAGCTGTAGATGGCTGTAGATAGCTCTAGACTACTGTAGCCAGTCTGTAGCCAGCCGGACAGCTTTCAGACAGTCTTGTAGACAGAATAGTTAAAGGATTACGGTAGCTACAAAGCCTTAAACTAAAGAGGAAAGCTCTTTGCAGAGAGAAGTTTCGACTTTGATCGAAACCATATGAAAGACGGATCTTCCAATAATTGGTCGAGGATAAACGGGGTCCTTAGGCTTTTCTACAGCCTTTCTTCTTCCTTTCTTCAGCCTTTCTTCTTCCTCTTCCTCTCTCTTCCTCTCTCTTTCCATTTGGATGAATAATGGACGCCACACGCTTTGATACAACACATTTGTTCAACGATTTGAAGTAAAGAAATGAAAATTTTTCAAGATAAAGTTACTTTTTCCCGTTTGATTGAGCAATTTGAGCAATTCCATTTGAAAATCTCAACTTTTAAACTTGAAAATGCTGAGTTTTGTTGAGTAAACTCGTAAATGAAATAAAAAAAAAGAAATTAGAGAAAAGAAAAGAAGCAAAATTGAATTTGAAGCAAATTTGAATAAGGATAATGCTAAATTTCCCTAAATTTCCCTAAATTTCCCTAAATTTCCAAAAAATTCAAACTTTTATGATAAGTTTAAAGAGAAAATGGCAACAAATGACTCTTTTTTTGTTTTTTTTGTTTTCGCGTGTTTTCTCTTGACATTTCTGTTCATTTCTATCCATTTCGGCTTTCTCTTTGATGTGGAAATGTGAATGGTTGATTGGATGATATTTAAAGGAAAATAGCCATGATATTGGATTTGGGTTTGGGTTTGGAAAGGGATTGGAAAAGGATTGGAAAGGGATTGGAAAGGAATTTTATGGAAAGTTTTATGGGAAAAGTCTGCTTAGATCGTACTTTGTGTTAAAGCTTGTAAACGCTTTGCTTCTGGCATACTTGAAGGCTTGAGAAAAACGCGAAAAAGTCATTGAACCTCGTTTCAGCATAAAAATCCGATTCAGAAAAAGTGAATTTCACGAGAGGGGATCGAACCTGTGGACCCGCCGTTGACATCCGGTTTTGTAGACGACTGCTCTAACCACTGAGCCATAAAGCGCCCTAGAAGGCGGAGAGAAAAAGGGGATCATAAGGGGGAGGTGAGGGAAAAACAAGCTGACTTTCAAAGGGGAATGTTGCTAGGATTCATTTAACGCCATTTTCTGAAGACCTTCCAGCAGCCCTCGTGGTGTAGTGGATAGCGATCTCGTTTACAAAACGATCAAAACCCTTTTGACCTGGGTTCGAATCCTTTCACTGACAATTCTTTCACTGGCTTTTTTTTCTTCGTTTTTTAAGGAAGAATTGTTGATTTTAAGGCATTTAAGCCAGCTACGAGGCATTGAGCCAGCTACGAGGCATTGAGTCAGTCTACTAGGCATTTAAGCCAGGCTACGAGGCCTCGTAGACATTGAGCCAGGCTACGAGGCATTGAGCCAGTCTAGGAGGCATGGAGCCAGTCTAAGAGGCATTGAGCCAGTCTAAGAGGCATTGAGCCAGTCTAAGAGGCATTGAGCTAGTCTAAGAGGCATGGAGCCAGTCTAGGAGGCATGGAGCCAGTCTAGGAGGCATGGAGCCAGTCTAAGAGGCATTGAGCTAGTCTAAGAGGCATGGAGCCAGTCTAGGAGGCATGGAGCCAGTCTAGGAGGCATGGAGCCAGTCTAAGAGGCATTGAGCCAGTCTACGACTCATTTCAACCAGTCTACGACTCATTTAAAACGATTTTTCAAGTCAAATCGCTTCAAGCAAGCACAAATCGCTTAAAGAAAGCCGAAACTACTTGATGTCATTAACCAATCATTCATTTCAATTCATTTCATCGCAAAACGGAAACGCTTTTGAAAAATTTTCCAATTTCAGATGCAGGCAGAGAGAACAAAATGAAATGGAAAGGAAAGGGTGAAATGAGAATGAAATGAAATGAAAATCATTTCAGCTTATTGCCTTTTTTTCTTTTTTTTTTCCCCTTTATTCCCCCTATTGGACTACGAAAGAGGAAAATCCAGGGATTCACCCTAAAATCCCAATTTATATCTTTCCTTTCTTTCCCTCATTCATTCAATCGAAAAGATGAGCTTTTCCCCTACTAACTATTTTTATTTTATTTCATTCAAAACAATCCAAAACAATCCAAAACCAAAACTACTAATGAATTTTGAAATTCGGAAGTTTTGAATGAGATTTTGAATGAATTACAGATTTTGGATGAGATTTTGAATTAATGACAAGTTTTCTATCGGATTTTGACTGAAATTCATCATTTTCTTGAGCTTTTATAGTTTGGAAGTGCATTTGGCAGGGTGCACTAGAGTCTGGAGGAGCACTAGAGTCTGGAGGAGCACTAGAGTCTGGAGGAGCACTAGAGTCTGGAGGAGCACTAGAGTCTGGAGGAGCACTAGAGTCTGGAGGAGCACTAGAGTCTGGAGGAGCACTAGAGTCTGGAGGAGCACTAGAGTCTGGAGGAGCACTAGAGTCTGGAGGAGTCCAACTGGAAGCTAAAGATGTAAACAAGGGAATAGATTGGATAGTTTTGTGTAAAATGTTTCTTATAGTTGGCCGTGAACCTGAAACGAGTGAGAGAGCCCTGGAATGAGTTGTAAAAGCTGTTATGAACCCTGGAACGAGTGCCAAGCTCTGGAACGAGTACTAGAGCCTATTCTGAACTCAGAACGAGTACTAGAAGCTACTATGAACCCAGAACGAGTACTAGAGTATGTTCTGGCTTCAGAACGAGTACTAGAAGCTAAGCTACTATGAAGCCTGGAACGAGTACTAGAGGCTTCTGAAGCCTGGAACGAGTAGCAGAGCCTACCCTGAACCCTGGAATGCGTTTCAAATGAGTACTAGAAGCTACTATGTACCCAGAACGAGTAGTAGAGCCTATATCTAGAAAAAAGCTCAATTCCAGACTAAAACCTGGCTTCTGTTGGTCACAGGAACTTTCAGAGAACAGAGAGAAGCTAGTTACAGTAGGGCAGGCTTGGAGCAAGTACGTTTTTATCTAGTACCTTGTAACAAACTAGAAGTGACAAACAAAATTGAGCTGACAATGAATTTGAATCATCAATACTAGCATTGGTTGATTGTATTGAGTGAAGCAAGAAGAAGAAGAGGAAGAAGAAGGGGAAGATGGAGAAGAAGAAGAGGAAGAAGAAGAGGAAGAGGAAGAAGAAGGGGAAGATGGAGAAGAAGAAGAGGAAGAAGAAGAGGAAGAGGAAGAAGAATTGAAGATTCAAGTATCTATCAAGTATTAAAGGTTTATTATAAAAGAGTAATTGGTTGTTGTTGAATGATGTTAGGTTTTTGAGTCTAAGCCAAAACAGAAGCTGTATTGTGGTCAGAGATTGGTCAAAATCTATAAAATAAACTCTAATACCTTAAGAATTCAAAAATGGGAAGGAAAATACTTGTTCAAAGCTGTTTCTTTCTTTCTATCTTGCTTTCTATCTATCTATCTTCCTTCCTTTCTTTCTATCTTTCTTAGCTATCTATCTATCTATCTTTCTAGCTGCCTATCTTTCTTTCTTTCTTTCTTTCTATCTTTCTTAGCTAGCTAGCTATCTATCTATCTATCTATCTAGCTATCTATCCTTCTTCCCTTCTTCCTCTCTCCCTTCCTCCCCCTCTCCCTTTCTTCCCTTCTTCCCTTCTCCCTTCCTCCCTCTCTTCCTTTCTTCCCTTCCCTTTTTATTCTTTTAAATGTAATTTTGAATGAAAACAGTGAAAGATTCATGTTTTTTCAACAAAATTTTATACGTTTTCTCCTCCCAAAATTTCTTTCTCTTTTTTTTTTGTGAGATTTTTTATGGATCATTTATGATAGGTGAATTTGTGGCCTTGAAAAATTTTGCTTTACTCACAAAAAAAATACCCGAAACTTTTACGATCCAATGAAACTTTTCATAAGTAAGATTAAAAGATTTGCAATTGCTTTTCAAGTGATTCTAAAAAGGATTTTAAAATCAATTCAAAATCAATTCAAAATCAAAAAAAATAAAATAAAGATCGGCTACTTGGCGCGGCTTACGATAGCCTTCTTTTAAGTCGACCAATCTTCATGTTCTAGAGGCCTGTAAGCCTCTAGAGGCCCCGCCAGGCTAGACTAGGTTACCCCTAGAGGCCTGTAAGCCCCGCCAGGCTAGACTAGGTTACCCCTAGAGGCCTGTAAGCCCCGCCAGGCTTGGCTAGGTTACCCCTAGAGGCCTGTAAGCCCCGCCAGGCTTGGCTAGGTTACCCCTAGAGGCCTGTAAGCCAGGCAAGGCCAGGCAAGGCCAGGCAAGGCCAGGCAAGGCCAGGCAAGGCCAGGCAAGGCCAGGCAAGGCCAGGCAAGGCCAGGCAAGGCCAGGCAAGGCCAGGCAAAGCCAGGCAAAGCCAGGAACAAACCCACAGTAATCTGGGGTGACTGACTATACGCCATAACTTTCTTCTAAGTCGCCCAATCTTTATGCTCTTGGTATCATTTTGTTGCATTTATTGAGATCTACAAAATCACATAAAAATCATAAAGATTGGTCGACTCAGAAGAAAGTTATGGTGAGTCGCGCAAATGACCTAGTTGCGTCATGACCTAGTTGCGTAAATGACCCAGATGACAAATATAATGGCGCAAAGTAGCCTACCCAACAAAATGACTATTTCCAATCAATTCCCGACTTTAAAAACCCTGGAATTTACAGCTGAGTATCTAAAATCTACAATGCAAAAACCTCAGTGTAAAGAGTGAAGTGCTCTTTGTGCGCGCACACAATCGCTCGCGATCTGGCCCACGCTCCAGATAGACCTCTTCGCTTTTCGGCCCATCAACGACTCGACCATTTTCGTATTTTTAGCCGTCACTATGCCCAAATTTTCTCTGAAGATGATCAAATTTGCTTCCACCATCAAATCCACTTCCATCAAACGAGCAAAAGCGAAGGATGACTCGATTCCAACTAGACTGTTGTCTAGTTGGAACTAAACCTTCAAGTGCTAGAACCGAATGCAAGACCGAGAACAGCTTTGCGCTAAATTGCTTGAACAAATCGATCTATATGAGGATGAGAATAACGAACTCATTGACAGTGGCTAGCTGGTTGGCTGGCTAGCTGGTTGGTTGGCTGGCTGGCTGGCTGGTTGGCTGGTTGGTTGGCTGGCTAGCTGGCTGGTTGGCTGGCTAGCTGGCTAGTTGGCTAGTTGGCTGGCTAGCTGGTTGGCTGGTTGGCTGGTTGGCTAGCTGGCTGGCTAGCTGGCTGGCTAGCTGGCTGGCTAGCTGGCTGGCTAGCTGGCTGGCTAGCTGGCTGGCTAGCTGGCTGGTTGGCTGGCTAGCTGGCTAGCTGGCTGGCTGGTTGGCTTTCGATATTATCTAAAATCGATTCCTTTGAATCCCCAGGGTTTATCAGTGCACCAGAAAGTGTATGTTCTGTGAAATTAAAGCTTGTAAAGAGTCAGTGATTCTCTCGAAAATTTTATTAATTTTCATTTTCCAATTCTTAAATTGCGATCAACTATGACAATAAAAAGAGAAAAAGATTTTTGAGATTCGAATAAAATCGTTAAAAACGGAAGTTTTAATTGCTTTATGACTGAATAGGGAAGAAATGGAGGAAAAAGAAAGAAAGAGAAAGAAAGAAAGAGAAAGAAAGAGAGAAAGACGAAAAGATATCCTTTGATGAGAACCGACATTGAGAGAAATCATTTGAGACATTATTGAAATGATTTGAGTCATAAAAAGTCGAAGTTGAAACGAGAAAGGAATTTTAGCGATTTCTTAATGATCTTTTGTTTACTGGAAGTTGGGATTTGAGTTTTTTTTCGGTTCAGAGGAGTTGTAGAACTAGAGAGAGTCTTTAGAAAGAGTCCATATTGGAACCTATATCGAAATAAACACTTCTCACCACTTCTAACCTAACCACGAAAGTTGTTACGATAAAGCTAAAGAATTAGTGTGCTAGAAGGTTACTAGTTACCAGTTATATTGTAATATTGTCTATTTCGAGGCTATTTCGTTTTGTATGATCCCTAAAAGCGATTTCCAGTCATTTAAAAAGTCTTCTAAAGCTTACTAACAAGTGAAACACTTTAGAAAGACTTTAAAAACATTCCAGAGTATTCTAGAGCATTCTAGAGCAATCTAGAGCATTCTAGAGCATTCTAGGGCATTCTAGAGCATTCTAGAGCAATCTAGAGCAATCTAGAGAAATTTAGAGCATTCTAGACCATTCTAGACCATTCTAGACCATTCTAGACCATTCTAGACCATTCTAGACCATTCTAGACCATTCTAGACCATTCTAGACCATTCTAGACCATTCTAGACCATTCTAGACCATTCTAGACCATTCTAGACCATTCTAGACCATTCTAGACCATTCTAGACATTTCTAGACCATTCTAGACCATTCTAGACCATTCTAGACCATTCTAGACCATTCTAGACCATTCTAGACCATTCTAGACCATTCTAGACCATTCTAGACCATTCTAGACCATTCTAGACCATTCTAGACCATTCTAGAACACTTAAAAATAGTTTTTAGTGTTTAAAGTAGAAAACAAAAATAAATTTGACGACAAGGGGAATCGAACTAGGGATAGACGGAGCGAGAGGCCAGCGCACTAACCACTACACCATCCTGTCACTTGGCAGACCAAAGCAAATCTGCCCTATCCCACGGCGAGGCCGTTTCTTGAACAAGGCTAAAGTTTTTAAAAGCCGAAAATCGTTACCACCACGATATAAGGCCGATTTCCTTACCCCTGCCAAGTGACCGGATGGTGTAGTGGTTAGCGCGCCGGCCTCTCGCTCCGTCTATCCCTGGTTCGACTCCCCTCACGGTCAGTTCTTTTTTACTTTCTTTCCCAAAATCCTATCATATCTTTACAGTAATCCTAAAAGGTTTCAATTCAAAATTGTCCCTTTTTTCATGACCTTGTTAGTGCATTTCAGAGGGAAATCAAGCAGCCGTTTTGTGATGGAAAATTGCGAGGTTGAAAGAGTGAAGAGAAAAGACAGGTATTCGAATAGGGGGAAAAGGATGTAAAAGAGATTCCTTTTTGATTCCTCTTTGCCTTTTTCTTTGCAATGAATCGTTACAATAAAAGGCCTCATAAAATCCATCTCACCCCAAATCCAACCGACAAAAAAAAAGAGGGAAATGGGATTTTTTTCCGCCAGCAAAAACCAACGATCGCGACATTTCTTGGAAAAGATTTCAGATCAGGGAGAGGAATCGATCTATTTTAGAGACTATTTTAGAGACAATTTTAGAGAGATAAGCGTTTGTTTAAGAGATTCTAAAGCTCATTTTGTATAGATTTGTTGCTTTAGATTTATTAAAGGAAGAAGAAGAAGAGGAAGAAGAGGAAGAGGAAGAAGAAGAAGAAGAAGAAGAAGAGGAAGAAGAAGAAGAAGAAGAAGAAGAAGGAGGAGAAGAAGAAGAAGAAGAAGAGGAAGAAGAAGAAGAAGAAGAAGAGGAAGAAGAAGAAGAGGAAGAAGAAGAAGAAGAGGAAGAAGAAGAGGAAGAAGAAGAGGAATGATTTAGAAAGTGAAAGCTGAAAGCTTGAGCAATCTAGGAGTGTTGGTGCTGATCTGGGCTCACTCTAGGCCATGGATCGACGCTCAGCTTTCTCTTTGGAGTTTGTTTAATGAAAAAAAGGTTCTAACTTCACTATAGACCTTTCCTGGACAGATCTGGTGGTAAATCTGGCTCTGGTTTGGACTATAGGCCATCCCTGACTAGATCTGACGGTAAAACTGGCTCTATTCTGACTATAGGCTTTCTGTCCAGATCTAACAGTCAATCTGCTATTCATCTGTATTTATCTGTATTTATGGTTTGGCTACAATCTGTATTTATGGCTCTAATTTTGAATACAATTCAATCTTTCAGAACGTGTACTCTTTTCTATCAAGTGGTGTCAAATATTTCAAATATCCGTCACCCAGCTGAGGAGCAATTTCCGCTCATCTTCTCTCACCCTGCCCTTTCAAAAGGTTTATGAAGAATTGATTGTTAAAATAAGGAGGAGAAGAAGGAGAAGGAGAAGAAGAGGAAGAAGAGGAAGAAGGAGAAGAAGAAGAAGAAGAGGAAGAAGGAGAAGAAGAAGAAGAGGAAGAAGGAGAGGAGAGAAGAAGGAGAAGAAGGAGAAGAAGGAGAAGAAGAAGGAGAAGGGGAAGAATGGGAAGAAGGAGAAGAGGAAGAAGAAGAAGATTTTCAGCTTTCAGCCATTTAAGCTTTATAGATAAGCAAGTAAGTGTACTTTGGGCTTTCCGAAATACACCCTTTCTTGTAAACTCAAGTCCTCAAGTCCTCAAGCGTTTGTAAAAGCACAAAGAACATGTCAAGCTAGCTGAATATCTATATTTACGATATACAATAAAGCTGGATCAATAAAAACAATAAAAAAGTGAAATTCAATCAATCAAATACAGTGAGCAATCGGTGAAAATGAAAGAAAAACAAATAAAAAGAAGAAAGAAGATCAAAAGAAGAAAGAGGAAGAAAGAGAAAGAAAGAGGAAGAAAGACAAAAGATGTCGTTTTAATTAAATGAGAGAAATAGGGAAAAGGAAAAGGCGAAAAGGGGAAAAGAGAGCCAATCATATGTCGAGTCATAACCACCTCTCTTTCACCTCTCTTCTCAAGCATCCCCGCCAGCCAACAAGCTACCGTATACGAAGGAAAAATATTAAGTATTTAGCTTCTTTAATAGTATCCGCTTAAATAGCTTAGATAGATTAACTAGCTTGATTTAGCCTTTTAATCTTTGTCTGATGTTTGGCAAAGTTAAAAAACTGATTTTCAGTTGTAATCACTAAAAAGTTGTAATGCCAGAGTGCAAGCTGGATGTCACAGCTAACAATGAAAAGGTTTAAAGCGATAGTGCTAACTTTTAGAAATTTCGAATTTGATCACCATAATGTCGGTCCCGTTTCATGCAAGACCGTCAAGGGTTCCAGTAATTCTTATTATCCCATGGTGCAAGCTGGATGTCACATCAAATAATTAAAAAGTTTGAAACGACAGTACTAACTTTTAAAAATTTCGACTTTGATCACGATACTGTCGGTCCCGTTTTCTCTAAAACTACCAGGGTTCCCAGTCATTTTTATCATCCCAGGGTGCAAGCTGGATGTCACAGCTAACAATGAAAAGTTTAAAGCGCCAGTGCTAACTTTTTAGAAATTTCGAATTTGATCCCGATACTGTCGGTCCCGTTTTATGCAAAACTACCAGGGCTCCCAGTAATTTTGTTAGCTCAGGGTGCCAACTGGATGTCACATCAAATAATTAAAAAGTTTAAAGCGATAGTGCTAGCTTTTAGAAATCTCGAATTTGAACACGATACTGTCGGTCCCGTTTTATCCAAAACCACCAAGTGTTCCAGTAATTTTTATTATCCCAGGGTGCAAGCTGGATGTCACATCAAATAATTAAAGAGTTTGCACTCAAACTGTTTGCTAATTAGAATAATATCTACTTTAAAATAAGGACAATAAAAGCAAAAGCTGGCTGTAAATTAATGGTTGCCCCAGGACGTTATTGAAAGAGAAAGGGAGAGAGAGAGAGATAGAGAGAGAGAGCCAAGAGTGCTAGTTTTCATAGATCTCATAGCTGATATGTCTTTCCATCCGAAAAACGATCATTTTTCATTACCCATCAGAATCTCATCTCGTCATTTTCTTTTCTCAGTCTTTTCCATGGCCACTCCCCATCGATCAGCCTTCGCATCTCTTTCCTGAAAGTCGAGCAAAAGCCAGATCTCCTATTATTGGGTTTTATTGAAGATCGAAAGTTCTGTTACAAGTCAGCAAAGAGATTTGAAGCTAAATTTGAAGCTAAATTAGAACAATAGTCTTATTTTAGGTTTAGAACTTTGTCTAGAGGCTAGAACTTTGTCTAGAATCTAGAATACTGTCCTTTGCGCCAATTGGATCTCTTTCTCGATCCAGATATCAATTAGAAACTCTTTAGAACTGTCAAGATCAAGAAACAGATCTCTAGAACTGTCAGCATCTCTGTCCCTCTCTCTGTCTGTCCCTCTCTGCCTCAAGTACTCAATTTGAAAAGGTACCGTAATTTGGTTCAGATTACAAACTGTTACTCATTCAATTCGCAATTTGATTCCCCATTAAAGCTGATCAAAATTAGTGAAGTAAAGAAGTGAATGACAAAAAGTCTCAAGCCAACCGTACTCGAACCCTCGACCCTCCGATTACCAGCCTGATGCTCTACCACTGAGCTATCGTCGTCTTATTTCCCCAAGTAAAAATAAGGATCATAAAGGAGAAGAGAAGGAAATTCAAGTTCTTTGGTTGTTTGGTCGTGGCCAGAAGGTTATATGTTGAAAATTTGTGGAGTGCCAAAAGGGCCTGATAGCCAAGTGGTTAAGAGTCTTGAGTCTTAGTCGAGAGGTCAAGGGTTCAATCCCGGTTGCTACCTGTTTGGTGTTTTTTTCTTCTCATGGGCTTATTGTGTTTTGTCTTGTTTTTCTGATATTCTTCGGGTGAATAAATGTATTTTAAAAAAGACGAAGAAAAGACGGAAAGATTACGGTAGTACAAAAAAATGATGATTGGGTCTATTGCTTTGCTCTTGCAAGAGATTTTTCAAATAACAGTGGTTATGTTGTAGTTGTTGAAAGGTGATTTTCTAGTTGTTAAGGCTGTTGAAAGGCTGTTGGCTGTTGGCTGTTGGCTGTTGGCTGTTGGCTGTTGGCTGTTGGCTGTTGAAAGGCTGTTGAAAGGCTGTTGAAAGATTTTTGAAAGCTTTTTCTATCGCTTTCTATCGCTTTCTATCGTTTATCTTTTAGTTTATGCGTTTAAAAGATCCTTTGACATAAAATAGTGAGAAATAAGCGTAAAACAAAGCCAATTCCAAAGCAATACTATGTAAAAAGTAATCGAAAAAGCTAGGGAAATGGGGAAATGAAAGAAATGAAAGAAATGAAGGCTAAAAGATGGGTTAAAAGGGGTAATGAGACGTGGCCTTATCGCCATTTCAAATCACAAATGCCAATCGACTCTTTCATTTAATTAATAAATGTTTTCTTGCCTTTTCTTGCTTTTTCTGTGTCAACAATGCTCTAATCCATTGCCAAAAACTCTTTTTAAACCATTTAAACCCAAGAACTCCTTTCTTGGTCAGCTCTAGACTCTTGACGAGTCTAGCTACAGTATCTTTCAGGATACTGTAGCTAAAGACAACGTTTAACAACGTCGAGTTTAGCGAGTTGATTGTCTTGACTTCTTTCATCATTCCTACTGAGTACTGACGCTGATTCTGGTCCTAGCTTAGCTATGGCTTTCCCCATAGCTTTGCCCAAAGCCTGACTGATTCTTCCATTGGCTTTCCTTGGTTTTGCTCTTGGCTTAACCCTAGCCTAACCCTAGCCTAACCTAACCCTAGCTTAGCCCTAGCCTAACCCTAGCCTAACCCTAGCCTAACCCTAGCCTAACCCTAGCCTAACCCTAGCCTAACCCTAGCCTAACCCTAGCCTAACCCTAGCCTAACCCTAGCCTAACCCTAGCCTAACCCTAGCCTAACCCTAGCCTAACCCTAGCCTAACCCTAGCTTAACCCTATCCAAACCTGATCATCCTACCACTCTACTGACTTCGATCCCTAGGCCTATACTGACTCCAATCCGATCCTCCAATCCACCAATCCTCGTTCTAGCCATTACAGTAAACTCTGGATCTGTTACCGCATACCGTGAGTATAATACAAAAACGAACAGACAGACAGACGGACAGATGGACGGACGGATGGACAGACGGGCGGACAGACGGACAGACGGACAGACGGACAGACAGACGAATGGACGGACGACAGACGGACGAACGGATGGATGTACGGACGGACGAACGGACGGACAGACAGACGAACGGATGGATGAAGGACGGATGGACGGACGGACAGACAGACGAATGGACGGACGACAGACGGACGAACGGATGGATGTACGGACGGACAGACGGACAGACACTGCGCTTTTATATAGTAGCTAGTAATGTAAAGCTGGTCTTAAAGACTTTTAAATTCAAGCTAAACAATAAGCCAATAACCTTTACTCTCCCAATAAACTGATTTCCGAATGGAACAATTCTCATTCCTAATTGACAACAACAATGACGAAGAGGAATGCTTTCCCGTTTTTCTCGCGATCATCCCGTCATATGGCGGGAGGGAAAGGTCATAATTAGGACAAGAAAAAGGGACAATTTGCATATTATTTGACAAGCCATCCTTCAATGATGTGCCCATTCCCTGTTTCCTCTCAAAACACAGCACAAATGAAATGATTGTTTCGATGGGGACTTTAGAAAATGGCTGAAGATCTGAAGAGCTGAGTGAAGATCTGAAGAGCTGAAGAAGAGTTGAAGAAGAGTTGAAGAAGAGTTGAAGAAGAGCTGAGTGAAGATCTGGCTGAAGATCGATTCTATTGAATTCAGTCTTTCCTTTGTATTGAGCTTTGTCTTGTACATCTTTCACATAAAGCTTTCTTCAGCTTTTCTTCAGCTTCTGCAGCCTTT